CAAAAAAAAAAAAAAAAAAAGTATGGAGTCTACAAGCATGCTGGGTCCTGGTGTTAGGGTTGATGTGCTGGGGCTGAATTGTGGCATCTGAGGGTGCTGGCATGGCACTGCAGGCTCTGCTGGGTCTAGCAAGTCACAGGGAGGGCTGTCAGTCACCTTGTGCCCCACAGGTATGCCCGCTGCTTCTCTGCAGAAGGACCCAGCAGCTCAGCAGTGTGCTGGCCCAGTGGCTCAGGCTTGGTGCCACAAAGGCACCTCTGGCTCTGTACAAGATTCCCCCAAGCAATGAATCACACATGTTACCCAGGCCATGATTGTAAGAGCCTTTCATTTTTTTTTTATACACAGAAATTTTGGTCTATTGTTTAAATTAGGAAATTCAACTACAGACTTTAAATTAGTAAGTATCTGTGGTCTTCCTCATTAAGATATTTTTTGTTCATCTTTATAACAGGCAGATAAAAATGTAAAACATATTTATTAACTGAACACAGTTGACCAAGCCATTCCGGATAATATAATGCTTAGAAAGAGGGGCCTCCGGATGAGACAGTCCCTCAGCCTGAAGACTGTACAGGAACCAGAGTGAAAGATCACAAGTCCACCGTGCCCCTTCTGTGTACCCCACGGCCCAGCTCAAAGGCACCCTAAGGACCACACAGGCAACATTTGCACTGGGTGACAGGACGCAGTGATGGTGAGGGTTTGCTCTATCGATGTCTACAACAGAGAATGAGAAGAAGCCCAGGGCACAGCCATCCGCAGCTGACCCTCCTTGACCGACACATGATTCAGAACACAAAGACCCTCCGGAAACTGAGTTGCCCTTCAGGTTGTGGTGGTTTAAACAAGGACATCAGGGGACAATTTACAAATGGGTAACATTCTCAATGTGCCCTTTAGAAAAAAGGGATGGCTTTAAGTTATCTGTGGCTGGCATTTTAATGTGGGATTTTCATTCGAACCGAAATTCTTTTGCCCGAGATTTGACTACAGCTGCTCAGGGGTGACACGACTTTCATGTGAATGGTGGCCACTGAGGACATCTCTGTTTGGCTTTGGGCAGATGTTAGGGAGGCGATGCAGGGTGCGTGTGGGGTGACAGGCCCAGCTTCTGAGGGTACCAATCTGCAGCTGAGCCCCAGCCCTGCAAAGCGTGACAGCTGTGAGCTTACAAGGTCAGGGAACCTCATGGGCAAAGTGCTGCCCATTTCACCAGTGTCACTGCAGCAGACCTGGGGGCAGAGGGGAGGCTTGGCAATCTATGGGGAAGAGGCCTGTTGCCTGGAGGACAGGGGGGCAGCAGACCGGTCCCTCTACCTCTGCCTTCCCTGCCTTTTCCTCAGGTTATCACTCATCCTGTGGAAACTGAGGCTTGGCATACTGGGTGCCCACACTGCCAGGAGAGGTGCCTGGATGGGCCTGAGCCCTGCTGCACCGTACTCAGCCACAGTGGGCCTAGAGGAGCCCCTGGTGTGGTAAGAGTGACCATGACAACAATGGAATGCCATTGTCCCACGAGGCTTGGCTGCTCTGCTGCTGCCAGAAGTGGCACAGACTCAGGGCCATGCCTTCGCAGCTCACATTTGTCCACCGGATAAGAAGACCAGGCTTGGAAGCGATCTCTGGTGGGTGGCACTGCCTAGGCTGCAGCAGACACCAGGGTGGCCGAGTCACTGCTTCCTGGCATTGCCAAAACATTAAGGGCAAGTCCAGCCAGGGTGCCAAGAGGGGTAGAGTCTGGATTGTGCTCCAGGCAGCCTCCCGGGCCTCGACGACTCCTCTTCCTAGGCGGGCTCCTGGCATGGGGCAGGCCAGCTCTGCTCCGCAGGCCGCCAGTGGGGTCTGCACCCCCACCCCTTGTGTCAGACGGGGTGAGTGTGGCCACAGGGCGCTTCACACTCTCCAGGTTGGGGTGTTGGCAGCTTTCTGTGTCAGCCAGAATGTGGGGCTTGCAGTCGAAGCGTCGATGGGACGGTGCCATCCTCATCAAGACTGGTGTTTTACCTTTCAGTGACAATTCCATGGCAAGATTTTTCTCCTCTATGCAGGGGCTCGAAGTGCAAATGTTCCCGTCGTAAGGCCTCCAGGCCTCGGGCAACCCTCCCGACCCTCCTCCTTGGGCATCTCGTCAGGGCTGGGCCATAGGCAGCAGTGGCGCAGTGGGTCCTGAGGGGCACGGGGCTAGGGAGGAAAATGTCCTTGCAGTCCGTGGCCCTGAACAAACCTCGCTATATTCAGTAATGAACTCTCAAAAGGAAAATACCCACTAAGAGGAATGGAAATATCATGCCAATAAATAGCTCCTTATTCTTGGACTACACATCTTGTTGTGTATATATATATATATATGTGTGTGTGTATATGCATATAAACACACACACACACACACACACGTGCACACACGCACACACGCACTGTGGTCTGGTTGGTGGTTGAGGGTACATTTGCAGGTGGCTCCCTCTGGTGGCCCGTATGGGCAGTGCCACCCTCCAGGACCCTGAGGAGGGCCTGCCTATTCCTGATGCCTGTGTGTTAAGCGTGATTGCGCCTTCTTGGGGCTAACAGCGCCCAACAAGCCTGAGCTGCCCCGCCCACTGCACAGCACAAACGGTGCACACTCCATGTAACTGCCATGCTCGTGCTCATTAAAAAAAGACGTGTCTATAGGTAAAGGGCAGGGAGCGCAGGCCTCCTCACCACTGACTTTCTTCCTCTTCTTCCCCGTCACCCCCCGCCCCCTGCCCTGCTGGTCTTCCTCCTCTGTTGGGGATGAGAAGACGGACCGGCTGCACTCTTATTTGATGGATTTGGCTTCTTGCAAATGCCATGCCAGGAAAAGTCTTCAGCCGCTGTAGTGGTCTCCCTCTTCGGCAGGTGTGTGGGCTGCCCTGTGTGTGTATGTGTGTGTATAACCGTGTGAGTCCGAATGTGCGTGTACCAGGAGGAGTCCTGGTTAGAGCGATGTCTCCATGCTGTGGAGTGGGCTCCCGGGCCTGGAAGAGAAGGCGGAAGAGGTAGCTGACTTGGTGGCATGCGTGGTCAGGTAGATGCCGCTGTCTATGGCGTTGTTGTTCTGGTTGGGGGACGGAGGCGGGGCGGCCCGCAGGCGCTCCTCGTTCTCGTCCACGTCCGTGTCATCGATGAGCGGGATGTTGTGGGTATAGTCGTTGATCAGAAACTCAGGCGTTGCCATGAAGTTATGGATGGAGCTCTTGGATTCCGGTTTCTCCAGGCCTTCATAGAGTGAGCTACGGAATGCTTTCACCACCCGGATCTGGAGGGCAGGGGCGGGAGGGAGGGAAGGGCAGGAGAGGAAAGGAGACAGTCAGCGGCGGATGCCATGACACTACAGGTGTGCGTCCAGGGGCAGTGGGAGTGGGGGCTCGAGGGGCTGGGCCTCAGGCTTGGGGGAAACATGGCTGGCCTGGCTCTTGACTGCCACCTCCCCAGGCCCTGATGTGACCCCCTGATCTCTGCCTAGTCTGAATTTCAATCGGGTAAAAATAAGAGATGATTCGAACAAGGGAGAATGCGGGGAGGGCTGGGTCCTAGCAACGGTCTGTGGCACCTTGTGGGGAGGGACAGCACCTGGGCCACGCTTCTCTCGGGACCTCGACTCCTGTGGCTGCAGCCAGTTCCCGCCATGCCCAGGCCCATCTGGACACCAGTCCCCGTGCTCTTGAGGCCAGTGGCAGCCACTCTTCAGTCTCACCTGAATCGATCCCTCGAGTGCACCCAACACAGCTGACCTCCCGCTGCTGGAAACTTCTCAAGGCTCCGCCATTGCTCCCACTTGGCCTCCTCTGTCCTGCTCTGCGCATACCACCTCTGCCCTGGCCCCCTACCTGGAGACCAAGGCTGCAAAGACCCCAATGTGATTTGCACATGCCATGCTTGCCCTGCCTAGGTTGCTGGGTCTCAGCCCCACACCACAGCTGCATGCTCAGTGCCACCAGAAGACCTTTGCTACCTGCTCCTCCTGCCTCTCTCACCCTGTCCCCTCCTGCACTCTGACATTCCAGGCTTTGCCATCCTCAGCATGTCCCCTGGAGGTCCCCACCCTCATTTCCAGGCACCAGAGCAGCGCAACTCCCCTGCCATTGGGCCCTCTGCCCCTGGCCCAGCTCTCATGCCCTCATGGGTGGCCTCTGCTGGGCCAATGCCAGCCGTCCTGACAGCAGCTGCAGAGGCAGCCAACTGCCCTCCCTGCCCGCAGGCTCCAGTGAGCCCTTGTGTGAGAGGTGGACACATTAAGAGAACTGATGTTTCCAGGCCCAGGGCCTAGGACTTGGCCCCTTGCTTTAGATAAGATGTCAGCCGACCCTGGCCTGAAGCCTAACTCTGGCCTTCTGCTGGCTTTGTAAACAAAGTTTTATTGGCACGCCGTTGTAGCCATTCATCTAGGTGTGGTCTGTGCTGCTGCCTGGCCACAAGGAGTTACAATACAGCCTGACCCCAAAAGCCAAATCGATTTACTCCCTGGTCCTTTATAAGAACAGCAGGCCGGCCCCAGTTTAGACAATGAGTCACCCTGGCTACTGGGAACCCCCTTCAGCCCTGCAGAGCCAGGACAGCACAAGCACACCTCCTTGAACAGTTTAAGCGAGGCAAGCCTCAGCGTCTTTGGAACGCAGAAGTAAGCCAGAAGCCCCATCGAATATGAGTTTTCTAGTTCTACATCTGAAATCCACTTAGGATTTTCCTGGACTTGGTGAAGCCACATCGTTTAATTAATTATTTAATTAATTAATTATTTTTGTGGCACCAGGGATGGGACTCAGTACCTTGCACTTGTCAGACAGGCATGGCGGCACTGAGCTATATCCCTAGCCCATATTTTATTAATTTTTGATTTTTTTGAGTCAGAGTCTTACTGTGTAGTACAAGTGAGACTTGAACTCACTATATAGCTCAGGCTGGCCTTGAACTCATGGGGATCCTCCTGCCTCAGCCTCCTTAGTGCTGGGATGAGAGGCGTTCATCACCATAGCTTGAAGCCACATCTGCCAGATTACACATGGTTGGCTGCTCTCCCTCAAGCCTTTATCCTAGAAGGGTTTTGGATGTAGGAGTAATGCGGATGTGGAGAATCCTTTGACAGTTTTAATGAGGACAGCATTCACTTCTGCAGCCAGCTCAGATGTGGCCCCATAGCTTAGGTTCTCTGGACCAGCCCTGGAGTGTTGGTACCTTCTCTGGCTCTTGGCCATGCCTGTTAAGTCACTGGAAAGAGAAAAAGCTGCACGCTGCCACCCTTGACCTTGACCACACCTTTCTCCTTGCTGAACGCATGGCCTCATTTGGACTTGGGTCACATGCCCAGGCTCCTGCTCAAACCTATCCGCTGGTCTCACCACACCTGGCTGAATTCCAAAGTCCTTCCCTGCAAAGGGCAGCTGAGCCCCAGGGCAGTCCCTGCCCCTCTGCTGCGGCCCCACCCCGTGCCCTGGTGCTCCTCTCGAATGTCATCTGCCGGGCACAGTGCACCGGCTGAGCCCCTGGAGGGTTGGAAGCCCAGCCCAGGCCATCATGAGTGTTTTCCAGCTGGTGGTGAGTCAGCCCCGATTCAGCCTGTTTCCCCCATTCAGATCTGGGGCTATTAAAAGGTGGCTTGGTATTGGTCTTATGATGGGGCATTTTTAGCCTACCCGAAGGCGGAAGGGCGCAGGCAACTTCTGGGAAATGGGCTCCTTGAAAACCATCAAGTGCTCCTAAGAGGCTGGTCCTGGTGGCCTGACTTGGGGACCCAGGCTGGAGTGGGGTTTCCAGCACAGGGCACGCTGGCCTGTGCCGCTCAGGCTCCTGCCCAGGATGTATCCCCATCTCTACTCCTCCCAAGGGGACCTTGCCGCCCTCAAGGCTGGCGGTGCTACCCACAGCCCAACAGACCACCGTGTCCACCTGCAGCCAGGATCTGGACCTGCTGCCTCCCCTCCGTACTTCTTGGGCCACTTGCAGCCTTGCTTCCACCTTCCTGCCTCTTGCCCTCTCTGAGCCAGGCACTGGGCCCTGTGTGCCATACTGTCGGCACGTCCCACGCCCCTCCCTATCTCCACTGTTGCCTGGGGTCCTGGAATGCCCCTGGGGGCCCACAGCCATCTGGCAGACTTGCGGGCATCACTTTTTCCTTGGTTCTAACTAAGGCCGCTGTGCTGGCTTTGCCCCTTCTCCTAGGGACATTTCCAAGCTCTTGCTGGCCACCGAGTCAAACCCCCTCGCTCCCCAACCTGGTTTGAAACATTCTCGAAGTTGCCAGAGCTGGGCCTTATTGAATGCTACCCCACGGCCAACCTTCCCGTGGTGTAGTCTCTAAGAAAGAAATCGAAGCAGTGTGCAGGAGAAATGTGGTCACCCCTTTGTCCCATCTTATCCCCTTGGCCCACAGTTCCCTGCAGCTGCTGCCCCATGTTCTGTGCCGTGCTCCATCATAGCCAGTGGCCCTGAGCGGGCTGCTGCTGCTTTATTTCCTCCACTGCCTGCAGAAGTCCCCAACAAGGCAGGGTCTGCTGTCCCCCCACCCCCAGCATGGCAGCCTGAGGAAGACAGAGCCAGATGCAGGCAGGCCCTGGGCACGACATGGAGGGACACACAGCTATTGTAGCATTCGAGATGCTCAAGGCCATGGCCCACTCTGGCTCTTTGGCATGCTCTTTCTCCTCAGCGAGCCCTTCCCTGTCCCCCCCTAGGACCCTCCTACCCATTTCCACTGCCCTGCACCCCATTATTTGCTCCTTGACCCATTGCTGGAGTGTGTCTCTCCCGGGCAGGGGTTTGTCTGTGGGTTCGCTGAGAACCCCAGCACCCAGGAAAGTGTAGAGAATGTTAGGGACCTACCCATCTGGTGCTTGTCTTCCTGAGGCTCTCCACCCACTTCTCTGTCACTAGCTGGCTGGAGTTGTTCCAGAACATTCCAAACAGGAGCCGCCCACCCCTGCCGGGCCACTACTGCTGCCTTAGACTGCTGCAGATCACCCACTGCTAGCCTCTCTCCTCATGCTTAACTTGGCTCAAATGTCCATCCTCACACCCTGAGACCCTCTTCCTTTGGAGGCCTGGGACCATCTGCACCGATCCCTCTCCCTGTTGGTCATCTGCTGTTGGAGGAGACACTCAGGGCCTTGGAGCGCCATCTGTCCTCAGGAGGCCTCCAGTGTCAGGTGGGGAGAGGGTGTGGCAGGGGTGTGGGAGCAGGGGGACAAGCGAGAGACCCAAGAACACTGTCCCGGTAAAAGAATGGAAAAGGGAAACAAAAGAAGGGAGACATAAAAGCAAAGGCCCCTGAGCTGTGATGATGACAGGAATGACAGAAACTGCCTGAGAGCTTTTCACCACTTCCTCCTAGTTCCTCAGGTGGAAATCAAGGGGCACCGGGGAACCCTCTGGCCCCTCCGCTGCCTTCCTACTGCTCTGTGCTGACCACCATTGCAGAACGCTTTTGAGGAGCAGGGATGGTTCAGAAATCAGCTTTGGCTTCCTTTCTCTGGGTGGGGGAGCAACCAGGGGAGAAGCCCCTTTCCTCCACACGGGGTGTCACACGTTTGATCAGGAAATGGGAAACGCAAACTCCAAAGTTGGCCTTTTCATGGCGGGATCACAGCAGACACTAATGACACGGCTCTGTGCACATTGACGAGTGCCTCCCATTCTCCCCAAATGTACCCGGTGTGCCTGGGACCACGCAAGCCCAGACGCGCACTCTGGGCATCAGAGCTGAGCCCAGGCCGCTTAGGCAGCCAGATGAGGGAGGGCATAGGAGGAAACGTGGCTTTGCCCAGCCTGTTTTGGGCACCTGCATGCTGGGAAGGGTCAGAGTGGGGCTCCTGGGGGTTCCCTAGCTGCATTCCGACACGTGCTTTAAGAATTCCCTGAACCCCTGTTTCTCTGTGGAAGGCCTGGGACTGGACAGGGCCCCCACTGCTTTCCCAGTGCTGAGGAGGCCTGGTGCATGCACACGAGAAGATCCCAATACACCATTCCCAGAAACCCAGCTGGGAGATTCCATTCAACATCAGTGTACTTTCTGACAACAGTGCCAACTCCAGAAAACAAGATGGCTTTCCCTCCACGTGGGCCTGCACGTGTGCTGAACGCGTCCCCCTGGGCTCTGGAGAGCTGTGTACAAGCAAAGCCATGGAGGGTCACCTGGTGGCGTTTGGTCCCATTGGACAGAAGCTTTGCATATTGCAAAAGCCAGATGGAAGAAAGCAAGGCTGTGATCTGTTTCCACATGGTCGATTAAACTCAGTGCCTGGAGGGAATCCTTTTGGCCACAGAGAATCAAACCCTCTAGCTGCCCGTCCTTTGCTGGGCAGAGTCAGGAGCCAGTTCCTGAACTACTGCAACAGTAAGAAGTACTGGAGTACAGAGGCCCAGAATAGTCGAAGGAGGGATGGGCGGACTTGGCTGCCAGTTGGAGTGAGAGGGCCACCAGGGTGACCGTCAGGGAACAGGCTTTGGGGGTGCGGCTGAGGAGGGGCTGGGCACGTCTGTGTATGCCCGAGGAAAACAGACACAAAGGGACCTTGCGCCACCAGAGCCCTCAGAGAGGCTTCAGTTGTGCCAGGATACAAGGTCACGTACCCTCCCATTCCCACCTGGAGGCAGATGCGTGGTGTCCTGGGCGAGTCCAAGGGACCCTCACACCCCATCTGCAGCTACACCTTGGAGATATCCACCCCAAATGGATCCTCGGCATGGGTGCCTGACTGGGAAGGGGTCTTAAAGTCTAACGGGACATGTGGCAGAGGCCCTGTGCCTGGGCCAGGAGGAGAAGGGGCTGCGAGTGGGAAGCGGGTGCAGAGGCTATTCTGGAGCTGGGAGTTGGGGTTGCAGCCACTGCAGTGTGGGCACAGAGGCGGCAGACGGTGTGCACGCACGTGGCACAGGGGCTACCAGAGCCCAGGATCCTGCTCACTCTGTCCTGCATTGGCCATGAGGACACAGGGCAAGAGTGGCCTTCTTTCCTGAGGCTCCTCCACTGCCCTGGGCCTCCTAGGGGCCTGTAGCAGGCAGAGGACAGAACGCTGTGCATGGGCGGAACTGTGGCTTTCCCAGGACCCCCAGGACTCACGGCACGTTTGGGCCTGGTCCCAGTCTGTGACTACACCACTGTATACACTGCTGCCTTGTGCCTGGGGTGCTCCATCACGGCCTTCACCTTGCCTTCCTTCTGAGCAGCTCTGGTCTTCCAGAAAGTTCCAAGGCAAGAGAGAGGATGGAGCTGGTCCCCACTGCCAGGCTTGGCTGCCTAGGCAGCTCCTTGGCTTTGTGGGCACCTGCCTTCCCTTGTCTCATAAGATGAGAGGGCTGGGCTTGGGGATTTCTTGGGGTCCCCCAAAGTCGCAATGGGGCTTGGCTTCTGAGTTCTAAACCAATCTGCCATCCAGTAGTGATGGCAGGAGCAGCTTTGTCCAGTGGCTTCCAGAAGCATGGAGGGACGAGCCTTAGAGGTCACCAGAACCCTGTGCCTTCCCTCTACCCTCCTCAGAAGGCCCTAGGTCGCCAGGGGTGGCTCAAGATCTGTCGGAGGGGCGGCGTCCTCCCCCTGTACTTACCGAGTGCTGCTGGGTTCTGGAGATGGAAAGGAAGGGATAGATGGCTATGGGAGGAAGGAAGGTGGGTGCTAGAAGCTAGGGAAGAAAGGGGAGAGAGAGGCTGCCCCAGGGAGTGTCATCTAGTGAGTGGAGGTGTGGCCTGGGTGGGACCAGGCCAGAGCTGTGGAAAAGGCGTGAGGGCATGAGAAAGGGTCTTGTCAGCTGCCTTTCCCCAAGTCCACAGGTGGGCAGATGGACAGGCAGACAGGAAGTGCAGAGATGGCAAAGAAAAGTATGGAGGATGTCGGCAGGGAGGAAGGGACGGGGACCACCACACCCATCTTGGCCCAGAGTGCCCTGAAGTAAGGTGCTGTGGCCCACCCGCACCCTGGCCGAGGTGTGCTGGAGGCCCATGTGCTAATTTGATGCATAAGTGACCCTCATCTGGGTGTGGCAGGGTGGGTGGCCTAGAGGGTGGGTGAACAAGCTGGAGAAGGGGGTCGCATGTGCTGTCCCTGGGCGGCCCTCACCCTTTCCTTAAAGGGCAGAGTGGCCCGAGAGGGAAGTTTAAGCAAGAGGAGGGGCGCTCACACACACTCGGGACCTCTCACCAGTTCCTAAAAAAAAAAAAAAAAAAAGAAAAAAAAAAAGAAAAAAAGGATTTAAAAAAAAAAAGGAAAAAAGAAAGAAATAAAAGGGAAGACAAATAAAAGAAATCAAGCCAAAAAAAACTGGAAGCGTCTGTGATGGGAAGAAGGCGTGGTTACGGGCAGCGGGGTGGCCGGGGCACTGCGGGCTCACTGGAAGGAAAGGAAGAGGTAGCACTGCCCCGCAGGGCTCTGGGCTCGCACTCCATGGTCTACTGTTTGCTCTTGGAAATCTGAGTTCGTTACAAAAAGCAGGCTGCCTGGGTGGGAGGGGACCTCACCCGGTTCCCTGCCTTGTCTCCTGTGGGGGGAAGCAGGGGGTGGCGGGGTCCGCGGTCTAGTGGCTTTGGCTTTGTCTTTGTGGAAAGATGTGAGTGATCAGGGACGTCTCTGCCTACGTAGGACAGCCCCGAGTTCTCTTTACAACGCGTTCCTCAAAGCATGCTGAAGGGAAAGATTTCTCCGGGCTCCTCAGGACACCCCAGATCGGGCTGAGACCTGGCAGTCCCGAGGCCTGTTTGGAAAGAGCAAAGGTGCTTCGAGAACAAAGGGCAGGGTGGTCACCCTACTTCTCAACACCTCTAATATCCGGTGGTGCCACTGGGCCCACTTGGGGACAGGTGACAATGGCATCCTTTGGAAGCCACCTCAAGGAAAATGCTGGAAGCTGCTTTTGTCCCCGAGGAGGTGGACTGGACACTTCGGCTGCAAATGATGCCACACGCCTGGCAGGTACTTGCCACCTGCTCCAGCCCAGGGCCGGGCACCTCCCTGACCCCCAGCAGTGAAACAACAAGTAAACAAGGCCCCGCCTGCCACCAGACGCCTCCAAAAGAGGCCTGAGTTCATGAAGAACCATCAGCACATACGGACAAGTTCGAGAAAAGGAAATCAATGGCTGGAGGAGCACTAAACGCAAACTAAAAACCCCAACAAAGCAAAGGACGCCGGGCCTGGCACTGCCTTGGGTTCGATACATTTCATAAGAGTATGGCTTTGGAAAGACGCCATCTGGCGGGAGGGCTGGACAGGGCGGCAGAGAAGGAGCAGAAAAGCCACGGTGAGCAGAAATGTAAGACTGGAAAAAAGAGAAGGCGGAGTGGGGGGCTTTTGTCTTCCCCCAGATGCCATTTATGAGAGAAAAGGGAAGTCAAGACTCACTGCCGGAAGCGCTGGTGGGCTTGGCGGCAGAGAGAGTTACGTGAGTAGGGGTAGAAAGATTGGTTACGTCATGGAGCTGGCTGAGGACCGAAGACCGCCGGCGCACAGCACCCTGAAATGACCCGCTTCTCTTGAAGGTACTCACTACCTCCATCTGTGGGAGAGAAAATGAGATAAAGGTTGGCTTGCACTGCGCTCCTGGCTCCTGCAGGGGGCGGGGCTGGGCAAGGACGGAGGCCACACTGGGGACATGTCGCCTCAGTGAAGCCTCAGCTAGGTCAGCCCCGCTCACCAGGAGGTGACGACGCTTTTGGCCAGACTGTGACCAAGAGACGGTTTGCTGGGCAGATGCTTAGTGGACACGAGGTTGGGAGGCAGGGCTACACGTGTCGTGAGGAGTCACGGTGTGCACGCTCTGCCGGGTACAAGCCACACCTGTCAGTACCTGAGTCTGCCAATCTTGTTACTCTACTTCGGTAGCTCTCAACCTTTTCTGCCACCCCAACACACCTGAAGGATATGACATGCTGCCGTTAGAACAGGCTCCCTGGGGCCTGTGCGGGGTGGGGGGTCCTTCCACTGCCCTTGACCCGGCCCTCCAGCCCGCCCACTCTGACGCAGGGGCCACCATTCCTCTTCTACCTGGGGTGCTCCACAGACAGGAGGAGGGGCCTAGGGTTAGGGTTAGACGCCCTGTCTGGACCCACAGGCGTGGAGGCTGGGAGGACTGGGGAGGGGGGCAGAGATTGCTCCTGCTTTGTCTCCACGCTTTAAGCTTCCCAGAACTTGAGAGACCCACAGAGCACGACGAGGAGAAACCCAACGTCTTTGGATTTCTGCCTCCACCTTTCACTGGCAGGGACACCTTGATCTCAAGTTGAGGACAAGCTTTGGCTTTAGAGAGGGAAACTCTGACTTCTGGAAAGTACCATGGAGCTCCCTGAGTGACATAAGCAGAGAAGCTAGCATGCATTTCAGGGGCCCAAAGACCCTCACTGCCTGTCCCACCCACCTCAAGCCCTGCAGTGGCCGAGTGGTGACCACCAGGTTCCGCCTGGTGTCTGACATGGGTCTTGGAAGAAGGCAGATAGACGCCATTTCTACCTCACACATACCATGGACAAGTCTTGTCACCCTCCTCCGCCTGCCCAGCGCCCCTTCTGCCTGCTGAGGGGCAGAGGACCTCACATGGTGACTGCACACGCAAGGGTGGGGGGAAGGTAGCACCGAGCACGGTGAGGAAAGATGACAGATGTGATGGCATCGAGGTCTCTTGTGAGAGGTGTTCCATCTAGATTTTAAGGTTCTAGGCTATAGAGATGTGTATTTCTCAAGGGAGCACTGTTACTGCGGCAAAAGTGACAGGCGACAGGACACATGGCTTTCCTCTCTTGGATTTGCATTGGCTTCACCTGGCTCTGCATGGTGTCCCCATGGGATAACGGTACGACTGAAAATACTGCAGTTGCCACCTCCCCTCCAACCGGAAGCCTGAGCCTTGGGCTGGGAATGAGGGCCAGTGGTTAGCAAGCTACTGAGAACAGAATGCTGACAGGACTGTGTGTTCTGAGCCTCCCCAAGGCTGTACAACGTGGGCCTGAAGAGCCCTCTAGTATGCTGCCTGGTGCCCTGATGCGTTACTATGGACCAGTGGTGAGAACCGGTAGTGCGTTGCTTAGCAACAGAAAACTTTGTGGAGGCCTCTGAATTCTGGGAAACAATTTTGTGGTTCATAAAATGCAGAAATCTGAGGAGGGTGCTGAGGGGCCAGGCATGAAGGACTTGGGCCTCTGGCTCTCGCTGGCGACCTTGAGCCGTCCCTTCCCTTGGGGCACTGTTCCCTCACTGCCAAAGCATCTTTATGAGGACTGATAGAACAGCAGGGAACACCCACGAGCCCACAGGCACACGAAGATAGAACGCACACAGGTGGCCAGGCCACCACTGATTCCTCTGATGAGGGTAGAGCTGCTGTCCCAGCTGGTGCAGAGGCCAACCCTGCCTCATGCTGTGCGGACAGAAGTGAAATGAACCCATGAGGAGCATGGTCCTGCTGTACCCCTCCCAGGCTCAGGGCAGCCTGGGCTCTGTGGTAGAACTGGGATCCTCCAAAGAGCCCAGCCCGCCCAGAGGGGCACTGGGGAAGACACGGGGGCTACTTTCTTTCTAAAATTCTCAGGTTTAAGTTTAGCACCTAAACATTTATTGCAAGGAACAAAAAGAAACTCCCTGTGCTGCACCCGGGCTGTCCTGGGCGGTGCTCAAGGTATTGGCACCTCCATGGAGAGGAGACCCCAGTGACTGCTCCCCTTTTCCTCCTGGGCTCCCTCCTGGGTCTCAGCTGGTCAAGGCCCCTCCGGACCCTGGACTTTCTTGGTGCCACCTCCCCCACCCCACAGGAGTCCATTCTCTGCGGGTGGGCATGGGGACTCTGGGGCATTTTGACATTCAGTGACTCAGGGTCCCAGAGTGGCAAGAAAGAGCGGGCATGGAAAGGCTTCACCAGGCTTGGCTCCCCAGGCCCTTGCCGCGCAGAGGCCCCTAGCAGCAAGCAGGAAGATAAGCGTGGCGGCCAGTGTGGGAGCCAGGGTCTCAGGGTGTGGCAAAGCCTTAGAGGCCACAGTCAGAAGTCTGGACAATGAGGACAGCTTTGCCCATCCAGGGCAGAGTGTGGCATCAGGAGCAAGGCAAGGGGAACCGTGGGAAGCTGGGTTCCCTGGAAGGAGGGGCCCCGTCATCCCACTGGGAGGGAACATTGGATTTGGGCATGAGGATAGTTTGGGGATGAGTCCTTGGCCACATGGGGCAGCCAGGCTGGAGGGATGTGGCCTCAGATCTGCCCCAGGATGTTGTCCCGACAGAATCCCAAGGGGGACTTGGCCGAATGTGGCCCTGTCTTAGCTGGTAGGGCCCTGGGCAGGGCCAGTAGTATGGTCTCCCAAGAGGAGGTGGCCAGGGCCTTGCAGGCGAATGAGGTGGCAAGAGGGCCAGGACCGCCAGGAGGCTGAGGGAAGGGTGGGGCTGCCACAGGGTCTTCTCTCCTTCGGAGGCCCAGGTGTATCAGCAGGATAGAGCAAGGGCTGGGCAGGTGAGGTCGTCACAGGAGAGGGCAAGGAGTGAGGGAGACACAGTGTCAGTGGTACCTCCAGAGGGTGACCAGGAAGCAGGCTGGGGAGTGGGGACAGCATGATGGCAGAGGCTCAGGGGAAGCATGTAGAGAAGCAGCAAGTGTGGAACATTCTGGAAGGAAGTAGGCCATTGAGAGGCGGGGCTGAGAGCAGCGAAGCTCAGGCACGCGGGCTTGTGAAGCTTTCCCAAGCGCCTGCTGTGGGCGGAGTTGTGGTCACGTGACTGGACCAGCCCCGATGTGTGGACATCTGGGTGAATGAAAGGACCAGCTCGGTGGAAGTGTCCACCTCCCAAACGGAGCCTCTCCAGAATGCCGTGTGCCTACGAGCTGGGGCAGGCCCCATCAAGCAGAGCAGATGGCCATGTGTCACCCACATGGTGTCCCCTGGCACCTGTGCCCGCTCTGGGGGCACCTGGCTGCCGAGGGAGGTGTCGGGGAGGCCATCCAGAGCTGCGGCCAGTGGCAGGCACACTGGGGTGGCCGAGGGCAGGTTGGAGCCACTGCTCCTTCTCTGCCCAGGCTTCGGAGGAGCACGGTGGGCAGCCATACCTGCGTCTGGATCCGGTTGAGGCCGCGGAACCAGAGGATCTGGCCCCTGCGCAGCTCGCGCTCGGCGTGGTCAATCTCCTCCTCCCCCTCTGCCAGCTCCTCGTCGGTCATCTCGTCCTTGCCCGGCCCATGGCCTGCCTCCTTCAGGCACTTGAGCTGGCTGGTGGGGATGGTGGCAATGACCTGTGGGAACCCCCATTGAGGGACAGCAAGCAAAGGTGACCGTGAGAGCCTGCAGGGGGCAGGGAGAGACCAGAGCCCTCTCTTCCGGGTGACCTGGGTTGGTGGCCCTTGTGTCCTTTGCTGGGCCCCATAGAGCCAGGGGACTTCTAGGATCTGCCATGGCAGCCCAGGAAGGATCTTGGGGGTCCCGGTGGTCCTGCCTGAGAGGATGTGGCTCCCCAAGGCAAAGGGCAACATTTAGGGCCACAGAGTATTCGACACACCCCTAAAGCTACTTGGGAGGCTGAGGCAGGAGGATTCCATGTTTGCGAGCAGCCTGGGCAACTTAGTGAGCACCTGTCTCAAAATAAGATAAAAAGGGGCTGGGGGTGCAGGTCAGGGATAGAGCGCTTGCCTAGCATGCATGAGGCCATGGGCTCCAGCCCTGGTACTGAAAAACAAAAAAACCAAAAACAAATAAACAAGCAAGCAAACAAACAAAACCCAAGGAGGATCACAAGTAAAGCCTAGCCTGGGCAACTTAGTGACTTAACGAGACCCTGTTTCAAAATAGAAAGGTAAGAAGGGGCTGAGGGTGTAGCGCAGTACTCCAGCTCTGCCTAGGACTTGGAGAGAAGGGAGTGTGACCTTGGCATCTTGGCCATTGTCCCGAAAACTCAGAGATGCTGGACAAGGCCACGTGTGACCCGGGCTGCTGCTTCCTCATCTGACCACTGTTGCCTGCCCTCGCCACAGGTCTGGACATGGGGTTCTTTTACTTTCCACCAGGTGAGAGCCCTTCACCTTAGCATGGTCCCTCGGATTAGTAAGTGGGGAGATTTTGAATGTCAAACCTGTGGCAAGTGTCCAAGCCAGGAACAAATTTGGGCTGCTACAACAGGAAGGAAGTGGCTTCCTGGGCCTGCGATAGCCCAGCTATGTTGTTTGCATGTGCTGTGTGGAAGCCATCATATGTGTCCTTGTCCTGGGTCATGGTATGTCACGGGTGCAGGCTCCGAGGCTCTAGAGCAGGGAGTCTGGGCGGGGGGACCTGGGCTGGTCAGGCCTCCTGGCATCATGCCTGTCTCTGGTGCTATAGCGGAGCTGACTGGAAGTGGGCAGGGTGAGAAAGCCAAGCAGGAAGACACTCACCTGTCCCCAGACCAGCTCTCCAATGCCGACGAACAGGCACCACAGCCACTGTTCCGTGGACAGTGGGGAACAGCTGAAGGGCTTCCCGCCGAACTGGACGATAATGATCTTCAGGGGAGGAGGGGCGGG